AATGGGCTATGCCTTCTCTGGTATAAGGCGAAATCGTGTGCAATAAAAGTGACTCGACGTTAAGTAACTGTCGCATAAAATATCCCTGATACCAGTGAGAATCTTAAGATTCCCGATACCAGGTCTCCATTTCATGAAAGGGGCGTACATTTTATGACCATGTACTTTCCTGACATTAAACTGTTTCCACAGTAGAAATACGCCACTTGTCCACGGAAGGCAATTCTTTTTAAAAAGATCCACCTTGATCGTCTCTCATTCCTCCTATTTCATTACACACAGAATTATAGGGAGCAAAGAAAAAGGAGTAGAAAAAAATTAAATTAAATCTTCTTTTTTTTTTTTGAAGCAGTTGTCACATAAAAAAATCTATTGTATTTCTTAACTCACTTCTATTGTTAAATTAGATTTATTTTAAAAATATTTTTTATTGAATTGATTTGAAAATTTCAATAATGAAATAATCATATTTAATAAAGAAATAAAAAAATATTTAAAAATTTGAATCAAAAGAGTAAAGACGAAAAAAAATATTTTATAAAAGTATTTGCAAAAATATATATATATAAGAAAATAGTTACAAAAAAATAATTTTCTCATCATCGATGTATTTAAAAAAAAGTATTTTATAAAAGTGTTTGGAAAAATATATTTAAATAAAAATTGTTACAACTCGAACAAAAAATCGATAAATAAATCCAATTTAAACGATTAATTTTCAACAAACTGTACACATGAAAAATAATTGCCAATAGATTTCGAAATTCTCATATTCGCTAAAATTAGTACCATCAGTATCAAAAAATAAAAATCTTCTCTTTCAAGTGATTTTCAATTGATAATTCCATTGTTCGAAAATTTTTGTAGCATTTAAAAAAAATTAACAATAATTAAAAAATTCTCATAACAATTGCAAAAAAGCACTTGAAAAATATTCCAATCTATTGTTGATTTAAAAAAATTCAAATCCAATTATAAAAATTTCTTTTATCTAAAATCTTTATAAAGCTGAAACATTTTTTCAATAATTATAATTTAAAAAATCCCTTTGATAAGGAATTTCAAATATTTATTTATATTAATAAAAAAAAAAATTGTTTTCGGCAAATTCTAATTTGTCCCCGTGTATTTTTATTTATTTTTTTAAAGGCCAACTTTGTTAATCATGTGATCTTTGAAAAAATCGTATCAATATTAAAGTGTTTCGCATATAGATATACTGGAAGCCCACGCATGCACTCGAATCAATACAGCTTTGTGTATATGCATAAAAGGGTACCGGGGTTACTGCAAAGGGGGGGTATTAACCTTCTATGACCCCAGCTTTTGTTTTGCCAAGAGGGAAAAAAAAGATACTTTATATACTCGTTCGCTTGTTAAATAAAATTTCTTTTTTTTTAAATCAGAACAATAGTTTTGTATAGGAAAAACAACAATAATAAAAATTTTGTTTTCTAAGTATTAAAAAAAAAATGTTATCGAAAACAAGATTAAGGCTTTCAATTTTTCCTCTTCTTTTATTAATACAAAAAACATGAGAAAGGAAAATAAAATAAAAAGGTGTATCATGTTACGGGAGGCAAATGAGAAAATCCCAAGCACGAAAAGTCTTTTTCTTTCGATTAGATTCCTGTCAGCGAGTATATTCTTTTTCATATATATATATATATATAGTAGAGGACAACCTCAATCTGCATAAGGCTTTTCAAGACATCGATGTTCGATATTCCTAAGAGAAGATTCGCTCCATAATTCTCTTTATTTTATGTAATAGGATTAAATCGACTTCGACGTCTTCTGATGTGAGGTCAGGGAGAAGTATATATATTTTTTTGAATCAAATATAAATCATCTGTTGCCTTCTCAATATGAATTTTAAAAAATATTTTTACAAGCTTCTTTATCTGGAATATTTTTTTAACTCCGCAGAATGAGATCTTTTTTTATAAATCTATTTCGACCTTTAGATATGTAAAGTTTACAAGAGGTGATTCACCTTACAGTGAATAAAGTAACTGACTTTTTCTACGACTCATAAAATCATAACTAATAATATTATTTTTTTTTTATTATTATCTTTTTATAATTAGGAAAAACTGGATTTTTAACGAATGAAATAATAATTGAAAAGCTGGTTTTATAAAATGTATGTTCGCATTTAAATTTCAACAGCCATTAAGCTAACGTCGAATCTCAGGAAGTGACGACACACAACCACCTAGAAGCAACTGAAAATAATTGTAGCAATTTATCTTATTTTTTTTTTTTTTTGACATGAGTTTTTCAAAATTAAAAATCTCTTTTTAATTTTTTAATAGAAAAATAGTTTTTTTCGATTTAATATACACAAAGTGATAAAAAAATTTCTGTCACAAATAGTAACCCTTTCTCTATTTCTTCTTTAATAGTTTTCAAACTAATATTATAAAAGTGCCTTAGCCAAGTTCCAAGGAGAGAATATCACAAGGAAGAAGAAAGTCGTACCAGTTTTATTAAACTTTGGGATGAACTTCTTGAGGTAGAAATTAATTGCAGCCGGTTGCAAAAGTGTCCGCTGGACCAGGAGATTTCTTTTTACCCAGTGAGAAAAGGCAAGTTGGAAAATGGATTCGCGTCAAGAGAAAAGCACGTTTGCAAACTGAACCTCAAAAAGATGTTTAAAGCACAAGATCGTCTGGGTTTTCCTAATTTTACAGCTTCCCTTCTCTTCTTTTTTCTAGAAGGCTTCACTATTTTTTTTTTTTTTTTTATTTTTTTGGGAACGTAAATAGAAAATGAGATGAGAACCAAAGGGAATTGAAAATGAGCGGTTCGCTTTTAAGACCCAAATCTTTTTTTTTTTTTGACCAAAATTACTGAATTCTAATAACGTGCTATGAAGTTTTACATCTTTTTTGCAATATTTATTTTTTATCCCGCTTTTTTTAAATTACTGCTTCAATATTAATTGGGGAAAAAATAGTTACCACTTGTGCGAGTTTCCAAACACACTTTTTTTGGAAAAAATTTTTATCTTAATTACAAATATTTTATTTTATTCCTAAGGTTATATCTCGTTTCTATAATATACCCGAATTTATGTACATATAAAGTGTCTTGACGAGCCAAAATAATGATGATGATGATGATGATGATTTCAAATACAATATTTGTCCCACGAAATGACAGCTATTTTGTACATCACTATAAATATATAATCCACAATGGAATATAATTCACGTTACAAATATAGTTAGTTACTGTGTGACAGTTACAGATCAATTAAAGAGTCGTATAATTATTTTCCAAATGGCGAGAAAGCCATTAAGGCAAATTTTCATAGTCAATTTCATGATATGCCATTATCATATAATTTATGATAAATTACTTTTCATTATACTATTTGACCATACAAAGATTATTTCCATCTTTTTCGGCTAATTTCAAATGTAACGAACCAAGTGGAACCGTTTTTTTTTTTAAAGCCTTCCTTAAGAATACGAATTCTTATATTTATAATTTTAATATCAGAAAATAAATATATTTAATAACTCATCAATTAAGTCATTCACTTCTTATTACTTGTAACCAATGATTTTTTTAATGATGATGCTGAATGTTAAAAAAATCAATTAATTAAATCAAAGTTACAAAGGGAAGACTCGAATAATGTGTTTGTTGGACGCCAATCGTTTCTTGGGACAAAAATAAAAAAAAATAAACATGAGATTTTTTTAAACAAAAGATTAATAAGTTTCTTTAATTTAAATTTTTGAACATGATAAAAATTTAGTTCGGATTCGATATAATTCAAAGAAAATGCTTACTTATTCTTTTTAAAGAATATAAGGATTCTTTAATTCGAGGAATGGAAAAAGGGATTAAATTGAAATGGATACAATAATTATTAAATGAATGACATTTCAATCAATTGTTAAATTTAGAGAATTAAATTCATTCTTAAATAATTCCATAATCAATTAAATTGAAAAGGGATCATTTTAAATTAAATTGAAATTCTAAATTAAAATAAATTCAAATTTAAAGAAAATTCATTATTGAAAAATTCAAACAAATAAATAATTTTGAGATATCTTTCATAAATGGAAAATAAAATTTTACCAGAGAATTCCAAAAAAATCAATGTGTTCAAAATGGCTGACGGCAACGAATATCTCCGATGATTCTCAAACAATTCCTCTTTTTCGATTTATAAATATATTTTCTTATTTTTAATGTTTCCTTTACTTTTCCTTTATAATAAATGATTAAAACGTATTTTATATTAATTGGCATTCCCAAAATAAAAGTGACGAAATAATACAATAAAAGCGTCTAGCTTATACGAAATCACATTAAAGAATGATAAAAAGACGTTGTTTGTTTTCTCCTAGGAGATTTTCGTTACCAACCAAAAAAATGAATATCTAAAAAAAATAAAAAGATCGGGACAAAAAAGAAAGTTCGACGGTCGGTAAAAAGGTTTTCATCTATATCTTGACGCTGATTGGTCCAAACTGATTAAGTGCAAAATTTAAATTCGATAATAAATGTTGTTGACAAAAATTGTTCTCTTGAATAATAATAATACTTCTTCTTGATTAACGATTTTAATACGTTAAATAAGATTTTTCCATTTCTCGAATCCATAATGTGATTTCGTCTAGTAAATTTTTATATTGAAATATCTTTTTCGAGAATAATAAAGCAAAGTGATTTAATATATTTAAAAATAAATAAACCTTTGTGATTTATAAAATTGTAAATTTTACAACGTCACAATATTTATTTCAAGATTAGAATGAGTAGTATCATCAAAGGTTAATAACCCTCTTTAAATAAAATCACATAATAATAATAATAATTATCAAAATTTTCTCTAGTAACAAAATGACTTTCGTGCTATTTGTGCTTCGAAGAGGGAAATTTAATTAAATAATTTTCTAAAACATAAAACACATTGGGAAAATATTTTTCTGAAATTATATTTGCTTTTTTTAATTTTGTAAAAAATTACTTACCCTTGCTGATTTGCGCTGACTGAGACTCTCGACACAGGGAAATCCTCCGCACTGCAAAAGAGAGAAAATAGTCAATTTTTTACCTACTTGATTTATCCTTAATCAGAATTTTAATAATGCAATTTAAATTGTGATGAAAGAGATAAAAAAAAAAAATAGAAGAAGTTGTGTAACTTAATCCATGATTGCCAGTTAGATCATAACTTGAGAAGTAGCTCGTTTCTTAAAGTAAAAAGATGGCAGGTGATTACGTTAATTAAGGTGTAAAAATGAAATTGGATCATGAAAAATGAACTTAAATTACTCGAATTAATTTAAAAAAAAAAAAAAAAACAAACAAAAAAAAATATTAAATATTTTTGTCTTCAACACAATTTTTAATATTAAAATTTTTATGATAGAAATTTTCAAATTTTTGACAAATGGAATTCTATTTTTAGATGGCAGAAAAAAAACCAAATACGCTAATTTTCTATTAACGGGTTGCAAAATTCTTTTTCGAGGAAAGTTTGTCTCGTGCACGAACATATTTAGAAATCGATTTGTGAAAGGTGTGTTTTCAACGTCGCACGTACCTACCTATTTTAGATAATAACGTGTGAAACTAGTATTTACTGAAAAAGACCCTTAATATCTCTAAAATGACGAGATTTTGCTCGACAATAGTTAACGTTTGCAATTCCTTCGTATTGTATAATTTAGAAAATCACTTAGGCAAATTTAATCAGAAAATCTCGATTTGTTGAAAATTGATTTTTTTTAAACTTTTTTTAATTCACCAACTTAAAAGTTAATTTCACCTTTAGAATTTTAATTCATAAATTATAAAAAAAATTATCACCAATGAAGAAAAACTGAATATAAATTTTCAGTAGAATTTTTCCTCGAGAAAAAAGAAAATCGATATTCAAATTTGGATATTTTTTTTTTAAAAACAAGTATTGAAAGTTGACAAACGCGAATAAATGAGAGTTTCTTTCATTTCAGTGGGAAATGTCGACACGTCGACCCCCTAAAGAAATCAATCACGTTTCAGATGAGAAGAGTCGTTATTCAGTGAAAAAGAGGGTTCGTCCCCATTTTTTTTTTTTTTAGGGGTAGGTTATAGCGGCATTTCTTGCCCTTCTAGATTAAGTCGTTTTCAGGTTTCACCTTCGAATAAAGAAGCGACAATACTCATTTCATCAAGAGAATATTTTCAAATCCCCTTTCCCTCAAACAAATATATACCAAAAAGTATTTTTCTCTTTTATAAACATTTTATTTGCGCAAAATCGAACAAAAAAAAAAAATAATAATCGATTTTATTTTTATTTTTTTATTACAAATATACCAAAAAAAAAAAAAAAGTCAGAAAATCTTATTGCAAAATTTCAAGACTGTCTGCATCTTTTAAAGCAATATCGACGTGCTGACCTAGAACTGAAGCAGGTCGGCAGAATTCAATTATATATAATTTCAAAAGAAAAACTCTCTCTCTACAGAGACGGTTATTTCTAAAAATGGAGAAAAAAAAATTACATTTTTCATCTATAGTTGAAAAGTCTGTCTAAAAAAAAAAAAAAAACCAAAAAGAAGGTAAATACAATTTTCTTAATAATTTAGCAAACTAATAACTTGAGTAATACTCAAAATAGCTTGGACATATTAAAAAATTTAAATTTTCTTAAAATTAGTTTAACCAAATTAATTCTGTATAATTTAAATTATTCAAATTATTATTGTATTTCGAAGAAGAATCTTGGTTATTGGGAATTTCAAACTGTCAAACTTTGAAGGTTTCAGAAACTTGTAAATTTCGAAAGCATTTCAAACTTGTGTGAAACTTTACTAACAAAGTTCTCATCGAAACATTAAAAATTTACTCATGTTGTATACAATTTTTTTTTTATATCAAAAACAAAATTTTATTTAATTTTATCACGTTATAGGGAAATTTTTTTTTTTTTTTTTTGGAAAAAAAGGGAAGTTTACGGGATATTATCGATGCATTTAAAAAAAACACAATTTATCATTATTAACTAAATCGGAAGCTCTTTGTTTGCATAAAATCCCATTTGTAAATGATACTCGAATTGAAATTTTAAAAACAGACAATATTTATAACAACAATTTATCATTGGTCGAGTGGGAAAATGAGAGGGTAATTATACGTTGAATATTCACGTGATAAAAATTTATACTTGTTTTCCTTTCACTTGGTTGTGCTTTAAAACAGGAAATAAAACAATTGGAAAAAAATTTTTTTTTTTTTCTATTTAAAACGTGTAACATATTTTCTGTTCTAGTTTTTATTTTCCAAATAGTATATAATTTTATTCTTATTTCTATTTAAAGAAAAAAGAAAATAAACAATTTTTTAGCTTTAAAAATATTAAATTATAATTTTATTTTCTCTATAAAATCAAGAAAAAAAAATTGTATCCTTTAAATAATTTCTTGCATCTCGTAAGGGAAGAATTTTTTCAATGCAGCTTAAATAAATTTATGTAAAGTACGAGTTACATTTGCAAAAGAGAATAGAATGCAACAATATAAGTGAAAAAGAAAACGAAAATAGAGGGATAAAGTAAAATGTAAAACGAAACGCTTCCATAAAATACGATTGAAAGAAAGGCTTTTAAAATTAATTAAAGCAAAAAAGATATATATATTTCAAAAAATGCTGACTAAAAAAAAAATTCTATTCGCAAACATAAATAAAAAAAAAATGTATTGAATATTTTTCCAAATACTTTTATAGGGATTTTTTTTCTAATCAATAATTATGTCAAAAGAACAAAAACAAAATTTTAACATATATTTTTCCAAACACTTTTATAGAATACTTTTTTTTCAAATCAACCAGTTAAAAGTAGAGAGAAAACTGAATATATAAAAAAAAGAAGTGGAATAAATCATGTTTCTCTTGGAAATTTTTGATTGGCTCCTCGTTATATTATTTCCATGCCTCGTTATAAATGTTTCCTGCATACATAGGAAATGTCTCGGGGATTCCCCTTATCTGCCATAAACTCGTAGTTGAGTTTCCGGATCATAAATATTCTAAAACCTTACTTGCAACATCTTTAGACTCCTTAAGTTCTTCACTTCCATTTCTCCCCTACCTCTCTTTCCTTATTTCGCGAAACTTTTTTTTTCCCCGCGCCTTCTTTTTTTTCTTTTCTTTCTTTTCATACTTTCTTTATCCTTGCACACGAGTCTTTGGACTTTGGTGAGTCTCTCTCTTCAAGGGAGATAGTTGAACGCCGTAAACAGATTTGAATAATTCATGATGGAAAATAATTCATAAAGGTTGGAAATACGACGACATTGGGTGTCACGTTGAAAGAAGAATAAATTATGTCGAGCGTTAAGGAACTGAAAACAGTAATCTACTCGAGATTCATTTATATACTTTCAAACAGTTCGAATATATACCTAGTTTATAAATATATAGTCTGAGAAGAAAGATATGTCAGATTAGAAAAGGAAAAATTTTATTATAAAAGAAATTAAACTAAATTGACAAAATTTTCATACAGGATCCAATCAAAAAGTGACTATTGACCTTTGCCAAAAAGTTATATATAATAACGTGGTGGATAATTTAGTCGTTGATTGCCTGGACAAAGGACAAAGAGAGACTACCTTGAAATTTATTTAACTTTCGAGTTTCGCTTTACATGCATTTTTGTTTGGTTTCCGTAATATTTCACTTTATTCATTTTCAACAGGTTTTTTTTTTTAGACATTTCACCCTCCGACCCCATTATCAGATTTCATTATCAATTTTTAAAAATAAATTAATTAATCACTTTATTGCGTGTGTTTCATATACTTTCAACACTCATCACATATTATTTTGTAAGACTTCAATCAAGAGAGGATATTTGACCACTTTTAATTTCAAAATGTTATATTTTCACTAATTAACAGATATATCATAATTTTAGTAAAATAATCATTTATAATAAAAGAAACCATTAAAATTTTATATATAAATTAATATTATATGGATATTAATTCGAATTAAATAAAAGATTTTCTCTAAAATTTAATATAAATTATAATATTCATAAAGCATTAATTCCAAATTGTCAATGTAATTTATTAATTTTATTTAAATTAAAATATAACAATACTTTCTGGTTTAATAAAATTTTAAATTATAGAATTAAATATTAATTTATTTGTAAATAATTATGATTTCTAATTATTAATTAATTTAATGAATTTAAATTATATGAAAAATTTTCTATAAAAATAAAAATACGATATGATTATTTTAATTAATTTGAATTAACCTTACAGTGGCGTTGCCTATTATTTGCTTTAAAATAAAAATTAACATTCAATAAATAAAAAAAAAAATTTGCTCTTTTGTCATGGAATTCCAAAATTATAATTTAATTACCACAAAAGAAGAGAATTATGTCAAATCAAAAATCATGTATCAATGGAAATTAATTAAATATTTGATAATAAAATATCAAAATAAAAATTTGGTTTTAAGGAATATTTTTTTCTGGTAAATTTGTCTTTTCAAAACTGCAAAAACAATTTCTCTATTGAGAGTGAGTACATGTTTCCAAAATTAAGGAAACATCACAATCACAGCAAATTCTGAAAATTAAAACAAAATTAAATTAAAATAACAATCTTTAGGAAAATGATTTAAATATAAACAAAAAAAATTTATAATATTACCCTCTGTATATTACTGTAAAAAAAAGTTAATTCTGATGAGAGATTCCTAAAAAGAAAACGTCAAAAAGAGACAAAGGGAGGGATTGTGTATAACGATCGTTTCATTAGAATTTAACTTTTGTAATTTGCCAGAGGGAATGCGTCAAAATGATGATTGTGTGGGATGAGAGAAAGAGAGAGGAGTGTTGAGAGGGACACGTTAGTCATCTCTTTGAGGACATACGGGAAAAGGGATAGCATTCCACTTCCGTTACAGTTCGGCAGCATATTCTCTCTATATAACAGTTTGAGAAACTTCCGTCCTTTAAATTCAAATTTAGTTGTACTCTCTCTCTCTCTCTCCCTCCCTTCTCTCTCTAAAT